CGTTTCGTAAAGTTCCAAAATGCCCGGAGCTTAGAACTTCGAGCTCTGTCCAAGAAGCAGTCCTCCAGGCTTCCAGGATTCTAGTATTCTGGTTTGTCAGGTGTCTAGCTTGCAGATCTTCTTTCAGGAGCCTGCTAGGGCTGCAAGAAGGCTGCAAGAAGGCTGCTGAATCACGTCTTGGCAGGAGAACTTCGGGGCCCCCGTGACGAGGTGCTGGGCCGGGGGGGGGGGAAAGGGGGGGAAAAGGCGAGCGCTTGCTGGGGCCGCGAGGGTGAGCCGCCTGGAGTTCCTGGGCCAGCCGGCCTCCAGCATGGACATGAAGGCGCCCAAAAAGGAGGACAAGCGGCCAGGACAGGCTTCTGCTTTGTGCCTCCGAGGACTGGAAGCCGGTGAAAGGCTGACGCTAGTTCCAACACCAGGCGCAAAGGGCATGGGACAGCGCAGCAGAGCTCACGTATAGAGCTCATGCACAAAGCTCATGCGCAGTGCGAGCGCGAGGTCCATTCCGCTTGCGGTGTTGGGGTTTCAGAGCCCGCGCCTTAGCGCCTCGTACCACCATCAGCGGGACGTCAGATGGCACGTTCTTGCGCTGTGCAGGCTTGGGTAAGTTCCCCGGCGGATGACGCGAGCGGGAGACCCGGCAAGGGCGGAGCCCTGCTGGTCCCTTCCCTTTGCTGAGTACCGGGGTCTTCGAAGCCCACGTGACACCGTGCTTCGCACTCGTCTCACAGGGCGATCATCGCCATGCCATCGCGCTTCACTCATGCATGAGTTGATCTCTCAAAGAAGGCCACCACCCAGGGAGCACGCCTGTTGAGAGGAGCTAGCGCAGGTTACTCCTTGCACATCGCGCTGCCTGTGGCCCTCAGACATGCCTGCCTTGCAGAACGGAAATAGACGGGGACGACAAGACACCGAAGCATCGTGCAGAATTCTATCCTCAGGGGGATCAGATTTGCCGTTCTTGGCAGAGTCCCTTGCTAGTTGGCCATGGGGTTGATGGAGCAACAGTTGCAGGCGCAGGGACCGAGTCAAGTTGTGGGGGATGCCTCACCGTTTCTTCTACTTCTTCCAGGACTATGCTTGGTGGAGAAGCGCGTTCAACAAGGCCTGCCCGGGCTGTTCGCTTCGGATCTAGTTGTTAAATTCAAAGTCACCGAAAGCAGCACATCTTACACAGTTAGATCCGTCGGTTCTCTGTTCTCTCGCGAATTCATGAGCCCTGTTCCATGTAGCATGTTGTTTCTTACTTGGTTGGCAATTGGTTGGTGTGACGTAGCTACAGCAATGAAGCACCTCCTACATTGCCATTGCCAGTGATTGAAGCCCTCGAGTCACGGCATCACTAGTTCATGCAGGGTAGCAAAACTATCGTTAAACTATCTCCTGACGCCCCAAGGCCCGAACAAGCCACGAGCACCATAGCTTCTATCTGCCAGCCCTGTGGCGACGGGTCAGTCGGGAAATATATTTGGCAGGAGAAGAAGAGCCCTTGCAAGGAAGATCGAGGTGAGCCCCCCTAACTGGTCGGTGCAAGGGGCAAGGGGCCAGGCGCGCGCGCGCCGGGGGTCGGGAGCGCAGGTGCGATCAACGGCTGCCTGGGTTTCGACCTGGCAGACATCCTGGAGCAGGCGCAGAGAGCGGAGCGGACAGAGCAGAGAGCCGAGAAAGGAGAGAGAGCTCCGCTTCGCCGGGCGCTCTCAGGGCCGAGGCCCTGGCCTCGCTTCCAGCTTCGTGGAGGCACCGGAGCCGGAGGCAGGCGGCACGAGCGTCTCTCTCCGTTCTCAGAGCGGCCCCTCTCGTCAGGAGAAGGACCAGCAGCTGAGCGTCCTCTGCGAAGAGAGGCCCCGCCCCCCGGGCGCGGTGTGTGCGGCTGTGTGCGGCTCTGTGCGGCAGGCGCTTCACCTTGATGAGGGACAACAAACCGCTGCTCGTGGCCGTGCCCGTTGAAGGCGCCTAACAAAGAGAGTGAGGAGAGGAGTGCAGTCTTGTCGCGCAGCTCTTCCTTGGCCTTGGCCAGCGCCGGAGGCCTCGGCTTTGACATCTTCCTCCCCAAAGAGGAGGCAGGGTTCCTTGTCAAGCATGAGCAGCTCTGAACTCAGTGAAGAAGACGCTCCGTGACGCCCTCTGACTTCGGCTTCTAGTTCCTTGCCGGGGGGGGGGCCTCCGCGCAGGGCCCCGCGAGCGACGCTGCCGCCTTCCTGCTGCGCTGCAGCCCGAAGCCGCGGGGCTCAGAGAGAGCGAAGCGAGAGCATGCGAGAGCGAGAGCGCAGAGCCGCGAGCACGCCTCCGCGCGCCCTGCCCGAGGCTGGAGAGCTGGTTGCTGACGAGCGCGAGGCCCGGCGCCAAGACATGCCAAGACTCGCAACGCCTCGGAGGCCGACTCGACGAACCGCCCCCCCCCCGTGGCCGGCTTAAA